CACCCCCCCCCCCCCCTCTCTCCAACTCCAACTCGTGTTTATTGAGGGTTTTGGTTTCGAACCCGTTGTCGAAGAGGAAAGTGAGAGATACTAACTTGTCAAGACGCCTCACCCCGCCAGCATCTACCACGGCTGTGCCATTTCTTGTGTGGGTGTACACCACTCTGTATGCGCTAGTACTAAGATTGAACCAAGGGGGTGTACCTCTTTCTCTCCGGCCTGCGATGGTGACTCCTAGTCTCAGACGTAGGTGCAAAAACACTTTTGAAGATCGTCACTTGTATGACCTTGTTGAAGGCAATGGTTGAAGGTGACCCATTTGCCTGCCGAATGCGTACCTGGCCGCAGGTACTTACAGTAGTAGCAACCACGTATGCGTCGGTGCCACGTACTCATGATGTGGCCGACCTTTTTCTTCGATATGTCTGTGCCCGCCGCCGATTTGCCGGTCAATATATTAGAATCACCGTTCGAATATCGACAGCAAAGCAAACGAACACAAATCGGGGTTTCCTCGCCTTTCACCAGTTCATTTTTACCAGTTCGGCACTAACTGTCGAAAATGGCAGTTGAAAATACCAGCCCGCGAAGGCGGCGAGACGTGTGCCTGTTGGTGTGAATGATCGACGGAGCTCCACCCCCCCCCTCAAGTCGGGCGTGCACACACGGAGCATCCTGGCCCACACTCCGCAAACCAGCGCCAATGGCGCGCCTCCACCGTGCCAGGACGGGCCATGAGCGGTACGCTGAGTGCATGCGCATCCTCATGCTGGCGGCAGTGTGCGGAGCGCTAGGTGAGGAGGATCTATAACTCGTTTAGGGCGCATATTGGGTGGTGAAATGGCGCGCGTTCCAAGAGCTCGTCGCACCGACACAGCTCAATGGCATGAGGCACGACTTCATGGAGGTGCTTGGTGGGTTCGACTTCAAGGAACTGTTGAGGTTTGAGAAGCCCCGCTTTCGTCGGCTTTTGGCGGCGCTGGAGCTTCCACCCGAGTTCGTGATTTCGAGATGAGTTGGCACGCTGCGGCATGAAATTTCATGCTCTGGTCCTCTTGCTTCAGTAGTAGACTAGTCTAGTGCCGCACACAAGCGAACGACCGTGCTGCAGTGGACCCCTCGGGAATATTGAGGCTCGTGGATGCTGCTAAGGCGTATTGTTGCATATTCAGGCTAAGGGTTAGGGCAATGCGTTTGGTGTCGATTCGCAGCGACTCTCTTCTGGACGTAGTCTCATCACTCCGGATAATTTTGAATTTTGAAGATGTCCGCCTCTCTCTGTCGGTTTAGGCGACTACTACTGCTGTTGCGGCCACCAAAAAGCGGTTCAGGTTTAGGGGTAGGAGACGGAGGTGTAAAAGCGATGGAACTCCCGGGGTGACTCACGCTTGTGGCTGTCCCACGATCCGCTCTTGCATTGTATGCTTTAGTGTTCCTGTGATACGCCGTAGGGTTACCCTGCTTATCTTGCTTCTCTCCGCCGAGGTGTCCCCCAACCTCTCCACAACCCCGACTCCCTGTTCCCGTGTTGTGTTTACGATCCCACCTCGTATTTGTTACTGGGCAAGGGGGGGAGAGGAGTGCTAAGAATTCCGGCACGTCTGTGTTTGGCAGTCACTCTGTGGAGATTTTCTGCGCCGACGACGTTGCTACGCGATCGCCTGCTCTGGGGCACGGGGGAGACACTCGTATGCGAGGTGTTCAATGTCACCATTGAGGCAATATACGATTGATGGGGACACCTTGTGCGGGATTTGCAGGTCGATGCTATTCTTCCCACGATAGACGACTTCTGTGAAGCGATATCTAGCCGCGGCTCGCCCCTTCTACGTTGTTGGGGCTTCCTCGGTGGCACAATCCGAAAAATCTGCAGTTCTGGTCGTTGGCAACGTCTTTACTACAATGGATGGAAACGTCTCCATGCCCTCAAGTATCAGGCAGTAGATTCTCCGGACGGTTTCCTTCGCCAGCTTTGGGGTCCTGCCCTCGGTCGCCCCCACGATGTAGCGCAACTCGGGGAGAGCGACCTGCTTGCTGTGTTGATGCAATCGTTCAATGAAGGGGCAGCAAACGTGGAACTGAAGCCACCAAAGTGTAAAGTACATCTGTCCACGACAGGATTCGCAATGGGGTGGGGTTACACCAATCACACCTCGTACGTACGATTCCCACGATAGCAGCCCAGGCTGCGCACCTACACGAAATGCTTGGACCAGGTACGAAGAGTTATGCGAAATATCCCAAAAACAGCACAGGAGAAAGTCAAATCAAGCGGAGCGGAAGAGGTTCACCACCCACTGTTTCACGCACGTCGTAGACCTGCCCCCCTCACCCATCACACATCAAAACGGTTGGACAGTCACCAAGTACTATGCGGAGAAGGCGTGAACAAGAACAACAACACATAAAGATGGTATAGCAAGCCGCTACGCCCGTTCATTCTCAGCGTGGCCATCGCCGAAGTCGGCCGAGACTTTGGCAGTGGAAATATCAATAACTCCCCGCCGCCACAAACATCCCCACACGCTTTCAAGACAAGAAAAATGGCAGCAAACCCACACACAACGCCACCCCAGCGATGAGTTCGCTCCAAACACGCAAGCCCCCGATGGAAATATTAACAATTCGCCTTCACCCCCCCAAAAAAAACACACACACGAAAAAAACAAAACAAGACCATGCAAGACAAGAAAAACGGCAGCAAACCCACAAACGACGCCACCCCCTACGACGGGTTCGCTCGAAGCATGCAAGCCGCACAAGGAAATATGATGAATCCCCCCCCCCCAAAAAAAAGAAAACATTAAAGACAAAAAAAAGGCAGCAGACCCACACACAACGCCACCCATGCCGATGAGTTCGCTCCCCCCACCCCCCAAAAAAAACACACATACACGAAAAAGAAAAAAAAAACATGTACGACAAGAAAAAAGGCAGCAAACCCATACACAGTGCAACCCCTGCGACGGGTTCGCCACAACTATGCAAGCCGCCCCCGGAACAGGTGGACAACCGTTCACCAAGTACGTGAACAGCAAACAATACGAAAACAACTCGTTAAGAGGGTACACTGTATGAGAACCCAAGACACGCGGCTACCTTCTTGGACTCTCCATTCGTTGAACGCCACGGGTTAAACGTGTCGGAATCCACATCTTCAACAGTCGACGTCATCAACACCCACACGCCGACATGGAGAGAGGTCACACGCCTGGACCACCAATGAACAGAAAAAAAAAAGGACGAGGCGGACCAAAAGCAACCACATCACCGCCCGGTGGTTGTCGTCCCGCATCACCGCCCGGTATTACCAAAGAGAGGGAAAGGTCGACATCTTTGAAATTGGTACGTCCCGGGGTTAGCATCCCCCTTGAGCGCCCAGGCCGAACCTGAGACACGTCGGCCGCGCGGCGGGGGGATGACTGAGTGGGAACGGCATACCCACCCACCGACCTCCCGCCTGTGCCTCCCCGTGAAAGTGTGCCGCCGCCCCCCATGCCGCTGTTGTTGCGGCCGGTGGAAGTGCTTCCTCCTCCCGGTCGGCTGATGAGCTCGAAGAAGTTGCACTGTTGGTTCCTGTCCGCCTTGGCACACATTCAGGATATAGTCCCGTTCGCGGCACCGTCCTGTGTCGCGCGATCCGGGGCAGGTGGTATAGATGGGCATGTGTGGGTTAAGATGGGCATGTGCGAAAGTGTTGAGCGAAATCGCATCACGATCACACGCTGTCAGCGAACTAAAGGCTAGGATCAACGAAAGGAGACAACCTTACAAGCTGGGTACACATAAATATCAAACATCTACTTGCCGCTGTGACGGGTCCTACTCGTCGAGCCGCTTGACGCGTTGACAGTTAGGTGGCCTGGTCGACGGCGCCGATGGTGGGGGATCCGCCCCGCTGACACCCGGGAGAGAGCTGCTCGCACCCCCGCGGACCTCTTGCGCCTCTGAGATCCCCGTCTTTCCCTCCCTCGGCGCCGCGAAGCTCTGTCCGTGCGAGGCCCCTCCAGCTGCGCTCATGCCAACCCCACTCCTCGCCATACCCACCGCCGCGCCCCCGCCCCCTGCCGTACCTGGCCACATCGTGCTGTGAACGACGACGGAGGGGCCTGGCATGCCGGCAGGAGCAATGCCTAACGCAGCCCCATGGGCGGGTGGGAAAGCGCCGGTCGGGGCGTAGAACGGGCTCGGGTGCGGCTGCGGCTGGCGCTGCTGCCATTGCTGTTGGTGCTGCTGCTGCCTCTCTGCCCCGTCTTGCCTCAAACCTGCTGCGACTGCCCCTGCGACCCGTTCATCCACGATGGCGCAGACCCTGCCCTCGGTCATTGGAGGAGATCCCTCGCCGTGCCCCCCCAATCCGGCCCTTGCCCTCGAGTGCAGCAAGTCCATGATCTGGTTCAACACGGGGTCACCGCCCATCCCGCTGGAGAAGGGCTGAACTTTACGCATGCGTTTCCCACCTCCTTTCCCGTCACGGGTGGACCTCCCACCCCTTCCGCATGCCAGATCTAGCGCCGCTTGGTCCATCACGTCCGTTTCTTCATCATCATCTGAAGAGTCGCCGACGCTCACCGCAGATCTCCTCCGGCTGCCCTGACGGGACGTGCATGAATCGGACTCGTCGGAGCCCCCGGCGCCATCGTTGGACCTAAACGATGGCGCCGGGGGCTCCGTACTAGACCGCGCTCGCTTCGTTGTCACCTGGTCCTGATCGCGGACCGCTCCACGTCCCTTCTCCTTGGCCTTCCCCTTCCCGTTGGTGGATTTCGCCGAAGCGCCCGCTCCAGACGTGCTCTGCATCGAACGGGCANGAGCGCGGTCTAGTACGGAGCCCCCGGCGCCATCGTTGGACCTAAACGATGGCGCCGGGGGCTCCGTACTAGACCGCGCTCGCTTCGTTGTCACCTGGTCCTGATCGCGGACCGCTCCACGTCCCTTCTCCTTGGCCTTCCCCTTCCCGTTGGTGGATTTCGCCGAAGCGCCCGCTCCAGACGTGCTCTGCATCGAACGGGCATGGTGCTCCTTGGCCTTGTCGCGAGCACGATTAGACGCCGCCGTATGCTCCTTCTTCGTCTTGTCCGTGGAGGTCTTCTTCGTCTTGTCCTTGGAGGTCTTCTCCAACGGTCCAGCCTCCCAGACGATGCTCGCCTGCTCCAGCGCATCGGCCTGGTTTAATGAAAGAGACGAACAAATGTCAACGCCGAAAGGAAATTGATGGCAAGTAGCAAAGACGGAACGACAACGAAGAGTGCGACGAGATGCAACTACCAATGGACTTCGAACACTGGACAACGTGTACTGGCCTGACGAACAGTGCACACATAGGCTATACATGAAATACACCCCCCACCCCCAAAAAATAGAGAACGCTCTGCACCTGAAACCGCAGACAAAGAAATGCAAAGAGCTGGAGGTGTGCGTCACGATGCACGGCCCCATGAGAAACGCATGGACCCATGCACAACATCGAGACCGACAGGGACAGGAGTTCAACAGATGCACCTGATTTGAGTGTTCCTTCTTTTTTTTCTCTTTATTTCTTTTTTTTTTCGAAGAGGGGGGGGGGCTGAATGCGCACTAACCCTTAACGATAAGGCGGGGGCCTGGTTTGGTCGTGGTAGTCAAATACTGGACGGTTCCGGGAATCTCCTTGGAAGGCAAACTCAACAACCATATTCAAAGGCGAACAATAATGTGACAGCCTGAGGTTCGCCGGGACGGGGGGGGTGGCGATTCTTCTCACAGCAGGAAGCACGCACGTGTCGGACATGGAACCTCCACCGCAAAACTAACCATGGGTGTCTCCTGTCGTGCATTGCAACCCCACCTCCGTTCCCTCGTCATCGCCATCGTCACCCTCGCCGGTGAGACTCTTGTTCTTCTCCTGCCTCTTCTTCCATGCCGTCCGGTGAGCGGTGAAGATGGTCCTCAGCTTTTCCACGATGACCTCCCGCGACAGTCCCTGTGACATTGGTGCGAACGAGAAAGATCAAGGGGGGGCGAGTCTCTCGAACGATAATGCTATCGTTACTATATCATGTCCGCTACGGCTATCCGAACACTGTCTGAGATATACGGGGTGGGGGAGCTCTTATATCTCGTAAACCAGCGTTTTCGTGCGAATACTTCGGCGATATGTAGGAACAACAGTAAGAAGTGTCGTTAGGCGGCCTTGTGAAATGGGCGCCGTTTGTGCGACTAGACGTCAACGGGTTCACACACAGCTACATTTCAAAGTGGTTAGGTTATGGGTTGTTTCGGAACCGTATTCATACATTCTGCATTCGTTCCTGGCGCGGAGGCCTTCATTATAGCCCTTCTGCCCCCGCCCCCGCCCCCCACAACGCTTTATTTGGCTTTATAGGTACCGTCAACAAAAAAAGAGTCAACTTGTCAATGTCTCGGATGCTAAAGAATTATCCTACTCGCCGCATACGTGATCCCAAGCAAGTCCTAAGTTGGGTGAGTTAAGGTTGATGGAGCTCAAGATCGAACCGCAATCCGAAATACAAGAATAATATCCGCAGCGTCCACCCACCTCCAACTTCCTCCCCATGTCGACTGTGACCTCCTTCGTGACGAGTGCCAGGTTGCCGTCCTTTTGCACTTCCTTGACCCGTATTGTCATCTCGACCTTCTTCGAGAGGGCCTGTGCGCATTTCCATCACTCCTCGTCCTTTGCCTTCTTGGCCGAGTGCTTGGACACTAAGTGCTTCGGTATGAGTCGCCACAGAAGCTCCCTCTCTCCCTGCTGAGTCCACCACCGCGGGCCTGTCTCTGATCAGGAATGCAAGGCAAACGAGAGTTGGGGTACAAGAGTTAGGGTGATGGACGTCGTACATTAGCCACGACTTGAAGGGGTTGGGTCGCCACTCACTTCACGGGAGGCGCCCCACCAAAGTACAGCACTGCTCTGTGATTCGTCTTGTACAAAAAATGGCATTGCGGATCCCACATCCTGCATTCGATTCGAAGCTAAAGTTTGCAAACAATAAATTGAAGTTTTCAGGTTGTTCTCTGCATTTTTAATTTGCTGCATGCATATCTCAACCATTGCCGCCGCGAAGAAAGCACACTCAGTCAAGCACGCCTACTGCAAACTTATTGGGAAACGGACACGACGTATGCTATGCCACAAGGGTGCATGGTTGAGGGAACATCACGATGTGCAGGTGCCTAATAACGTACAGGATCCCAAACTTACACCCTTTTTCACAGAGGGCGCATGGAAACAGAAATACATGTGAAGACATGTATTCAGTCCTCCCACAAGTCCTCTCAGAAGGGCGCACAATCATGGTCACCGACTACATCCTTCGAGCACACACGTTTGCCATCTAGCTGTGTCGGTGCGACGAGCTCTTGGAACGCGCGCCATTTCACCACCCAATATGCGCCCTAAACGAATAATAGGTCCTCCTCACCTAGCGCCTCACACACTGCCGCGAGCATGAGGATGCGCATGCACTCAGCGTACCGCTCATGGCCCATCCTGGCACGGTGGAGGTGCGCCATCGGCGGTGGTGTGCGAAGTGTGGGCCAGGATGCTCCGTGCGTGTACGCCCGACTTGAGGGGGGGGTTGGAGCTCCGTCGATCATTCACACCAACAGGCACACGTCTCGCAGCCTTCGCGGGCTGGTATTTTTTTTTTCTCAATATGACACAACGAGTCCATCTCTATCATAGAAAAGAGTCAGAGACCAATCATCATGGCGTCAGAGAAAACTACCTGCATGTCTACGATTTCCCTAACAGCATATAAGGACATCTCCCCTGCGGGTAACAGGCTCAACAAATCAGTTTGGTAGCTGTCTTGTGTGTCTCATATATGTTATGTTGGGAAGGTGTAGACGAATGATGTTGGGTACTGTTGGGTAGTCGGGCGGTTTGTGTGTCGCACCCTGTTAGTTGTACGACATGCAATCTCCATCAGTTTACAAACGTGTTCTCAGTTTGGTATGCATATTTGCGGAGTTGTTGTTGTTGTTGTTATTGTTTCTCACATTAGCTCTACAGTCCACAAAAAATGGGGAGCCCGTGGTCTCAAAACCCGGCACATACGACGCCGCGGGGAAACAAACAAAAATAGGGTACAAACCACTCGGAACAAGAAAACAAAATGATAGAAAGAAAAGAACAGGTATCGCACCGACCATTCGAGAAAAGAGCCCTCGGAAACCGATCAAAATAAAACAAAAACAAAAAAAAAGCAGGACGCTTCCCACACCCGCCCAAAGAAAAATCGAAGGGTAACGTACCAGCACCAGGCACTACGCACCAGGGCATGGGAGTAACGGAGCAAACAGGACAAACAGGAGGCAGATGGGCAGACAGCCAGACGTACAAAAACAAAGGCCACAGCAAAGCGAGATCACGGTACCCAACACAGCAGAGTAGGCAGGGAGGTCATGAAAAAAAGAAACACAGAAACACAGCACATAGGCCGAAGGAAATACAAAGGACATACATGAAGGAGTATAGCATACAGCGGGGAGGGAAACAGGGCGCAACAGCATCAGCCGGGTACATAGTTCGCTACAAGTGCTGCCTCGGCCGCCCTACTCGCTTCTACAGCAGTGCCCGTTCGCCGTTTCTTCCCCCCCACCGCCGCTTCCCCGGCTCTCTTTCTCTTCGGTCCTGAGATGGTCGTACTCTCTGCTTCTGCTTCCCTCGCCCGCTGGCGCTTCGCGGACGCTTCCGCTTCCTGCCTGTGCCATTTCCTCATGAACCATGCCGCCCCGTCCTCGACCTTGTTGTACCACACCTCCGGGTCCTTGGCGCTCTCTTTCCATTTACCACCTTCCACTTCGTCTCCCATGTTGAAGGCCACGAGGTCCTCTCCTAGACGAGACATCCAGTCGCTCTCCTGCCCGCCCCGGTATCCCACGCCCCCCGCCATCGCTCCTAACAGCATGCGCTTGGG